TCCGTCGAAGAATCCGAGAATTTGCGCGCCCTCCATCATCAGCTCAAACTCGAATGACCAGGTATAGAAGTCCTTTCCGTCGAAGAGCGTTGACGTTTGCAGTTTTAACACGTGTGCGAATTGTGATTGAACTTGAAGTGCGTCCAATGTCTTCTCTTGTCCAGGTGAAGACTATGGTTGTGGCGCGAAGCTGATGGAGCCACGTTGAGGCCCGTACGGAGCAAAGGTGGGTTGTTGCTGATTTCCGCGCGCATAAGAGGAACCGTCAAGGCTCATCGGTGTTGCTCTGTTGTTGTTGTCGCTGTTGTTTGATTGTGCAGGAGCTGCTTGCTGGTGTTGCTCGTAGAAGGACATGAAGGAGAAGAACTTCTCCATCATGTTTGGGTCGAAGCTTGCTGCTTGGTTCCCGGGAGTTACGGTCGACTCCGCAGCTGGTCTTGTTGCTGTGCCTTCCTCTGTCTGTAGGCCAGAGGCTGGAGGTGGAGTAGGAGTAGTGCCGAGAGATCCGTTAGAGGAGCTCCTCTCCTTTTGTGTTGTCATGTCTTGTGTTGTCATAGAGATTTTGGAAATTCATCTTGCCCTGTTAGCTCTCATACCATGTTGGGCTGAAAAAGGCCCTTAGGATCGGGGTTGAAGTAGGAATGTTGTAATTGCGGAAGCGTTTAATATCAGAGTTTGCTGAACCACCTTGTACTAGTGTGTGAGAACAAGATAAGTTGATAATAGCAAAGAGATACAAGCTTTTTATATGATTACAAAGGAATATGAAAAGTTCTACTTAAACTGTTTTTACTGCTGCGGTTTGATACAGTGACCTCTACTCGTTGCACCTGTACAATCTGCCAGTCTGAGTTACTGGCATGGTCAACATGAACACCTGTTCATCCATGGTGCATTGTACCGTCATCGCCCGGATATAAGACATATATGTCTTATCTCGTACACGGGCAAAAATGCTTGAGTTATCTTGTAAACGGGATGGTTTAGGGTGTCTTATAAGTCTTATAAATGGAAAAAAAATTTAAGTTGACTGTAACACTTGCAAAGTGTGTAGAAAACACCCAGAGACCAGATTCATTGAAACAGGCCGACCTCGGTGGTGATGCATGCAGCGCCCACACTTGCCACGTGAGGGAGCTGCCACCGCTGGCAATATTCCTCTGTGCTGGCAGCATCTAATGATGCTGCCAGCGTCGTTTTGCTGCCAGCAGCGCAGGGATGCTTCCAGAACGCTGCTGGCAGCACGTTGGCAGCGTGAGGGCTGTCCTCTACGAGGAGATGCCTCGTAGAGGAGCGGCTCGGCACCTGTGGATGGGGCACTCTGGCTAGGGGGGGTAGTCGGCCTCTCACTTCATTTGGTGCTCAAGGGTTTAGGAATACTCGTCTCAACCTTGCTCTCGGCAGGCTTTCTAACCATGCGCAGCAAAGTACCCCCAGGCTCGTCCTCTCCTCGTCCTCACGTGCAGGTGAATAACTACGGGCGAATTAACTCGCCCGGCGATGACATCCGTGTAGCCATGGCGAAGAACGCGAGCAAGGCGGGAAGTCCTACCGCGGCCTCCGGTGCGAGCTGTGACGGGGACGACGGAGAAGAAGCGAACGGCGACGACGCCGAGGAGGATTGGCCAGAGAACGGCCACGACGACAGCGCTTCGGGCGACGAATTAGGTCCTGCCGACATCTAGGAGGACGAATGGTGGAATCGGCCGGTCGGGAGCGACGACGAGGTGGAAGAGTGGCGGGCTGGAGATTCGGACAACGACGGAGGTGAAAATGCGAATGGTGACAACGCGGAGGCAGCGGCGGATGCACAGGAAGCGGCGATGGATGCGAATGAGGAGGCTGAAGACGGCGCGGCCGCAGTTGCGGATGCGGATGCTGTGGCAGAGTCGGACACGGTTGCTGCGGATGCCGTCTTATTTGACGGTGAAAGCGGCGACGACGACCCATGTAGCCTTGGGACAGACGACGACGTTCCGCTACTGAAGCGGAGGCTGCGCCATCGCCTACAGTCCAAGTCGAAGCGGGCCCGCGTGGTGCTCTCTGACGACGCCAGTCCGGGGGAGGAGCGTCGCCCGAAACTCACCGCTGCGGAGAAGGGAAAAGCCAAGGTCGCGGAAGCCCCTGCTAAGGCCCCTGCTAAGGCCCCTGGTCGTCGCCGCACAAGCAACAAGAAGCGGACATCCGACGGAGACCCGGGATCTAGCAAGGGTGTGGCTAAGAAGAAGGCGATGAAGGCGCCGAATCATGACGACATCGTCGTGAACGAGACTCTGGGCAGCGACGATGAGTACGCGGCGGCGGCGGGCCCGATTCCCACGTTCCCTGAGAAGGTCACGCCGAAGGACCCCACCCTCCATAATCCCAACACCCGCCCACCTTCCCCTCGCAGCAAGGACACTACGAGGAAGCGCCGCAGTTGGACCGTGCGTGAGAAGCTTAAGTGGGCGCGCCGCTATCTGGAGCTCGGCTCCTTGAAGAAGACGAGCGTGGAGTCAACCGCGTCCATCGCCTGCATCAGACGCTGGAGTGCGGAGGCGGCTGCGGGCGTCTACAAGGGCGCGGCTAACCGCCGCAAGCGGATGCACGGGGGGGGGCGCCACTCACACTACCCCGACATGGAGGTAGCGTTGTACCGCTACATCTGCCTTCAGCACGCTAACGGGGTGGCCATCTCGGTGAAGGACACCCAGAAGTGGAGCCGCGAGTGGATGAAGAAGCATCACGCCGGCAAGAACTGGAACGCGAGCTCTCACTGGAGCCAGCGTTTCCGTGACCGCTGGAACCTGGTGATGCGGGTGAAGACCAAGGTCGGCCAACGACTGTCGGCAGGTGCGTGTTGAAGGAATTCGTGTCGCGCGCGGGCTATTGAATGCATGTCCCTCACCCAGTGTCTAACCATCCCGTGTTTCCGTTGCGCGTGTACCGTTTGCAGAGTGCGCGAAGGACTGCGAGTCCTTCTGGAAGTTCGTGCGCATCAATAGGGCGCGGCACAACATCGACCTGGCCCGCATCATCAACGCGGACCAGACTCCACTATTCGTGGAGATGTCAGCCGAACGGACGATCGAGCACCGCGGCGATGCTCGCGTGCACTGCATCCGGGGAGAAGCTGCGGCCGTGGGTGTGGTTCAAGATGAAGAACGTCCCCAACTGTGAGATTCCGGAAGGTAAGCGTAATTAATTCAACCGTGCGACTGCCTGATGAGCGTGCCCCACTGTGCTGAAGCCCGTCTGTCCCTTGTGTGCCTGGCAGGAATCGTGGTCCAAGCACAGGACAACGGGTGGATGGACGAGAGCGCTGTGCAGACCTGGCTGTCCAAGGAGGTGCTGCCCCATCTGAACCCCCAGCGCGGCCAGAACGCGAGGCGTGCGATGCTGGTGTTGGACTCCTACCGCGGTCACATCACCCAGACCATGCTTCAGTCGTACCGCACGCACAGCATCACCCCTGCAGTCATCCCAGCGGGTTGTACGAGCCAGATTCAACCCCTGGACGTCTCAATCAACCGGTGCTTCAAGGCTGCTGTGCGAGCGCGCTACGCCAGGTGGTTCATGCGTGAGGGGATTCACCTGAAGACGAATAAGGGTGAGTTGGTCCTTCATTTATGGTATTATTCCTATTCTGTTTCCTGTCCTTGTCTTAAACATGCTCCTTCATGTCCGTGTCTCTAACATCTCGCTGCCCCGTCCTCAAACCCACCCGCAGGAAACCTGCGGAGGCCGCCCCACCCCGTGGTGCTGCAGTGGATCGCGGAGGCTTGGGATCAAGTCCCCAAGCAGATCATCATCGACGCGTTCCGCCACTGTGGGATCTCAAGCAAGCTGGACGGAACGGAGAACCACCTGGTGATGTCTCACCTGCGCGCCAGGAGCACCACTGATGTCTCCGCGGACATGTCCCTCGGGGGGACCACAGGCGACAACACGCGCCTGCTCGGTCGGGCTCCAGAGGAGGAGGAGGAGGAGGAGGAGGCGATGCAGGCGGAGGGCGTGCGGGAGGTGGCAGTGGCAACCGGCCTGGAGGTGCTGTACCAGGAGACCCCCAACTACCGCGGGGCGGCGGCCGAGGCTGACCGCATGATCGAGCCTAGGGAGACGGCTAGGCATGCCTGGCGAGTGCCAGACCTGGGTGTAGAGCCTGTTGTTAGCGCAGGCGAGGAGGCGGTGACTGAGGGGGGTTAGGTAGAAGTAGAGATTCATGAATGTATGCATGTACCCCCCTAAAGTAAAGAAGGCTCGTTTAGAAGACACCCCCTGTTTATAAGAAAACCCCTAAACCCCGGTTCTGATTATAAGACATATATCTCTTAACTCGTACACACAAATAGGTGTCGTATAAAAAGGCTAGCCTGTTTATAAGAGACACCCGTATAGTAGACAACCCCTGTCTACTATTCAACCCTGTCTTATATCCGGGCGATGACGGTACTGGTAACCCAACAACACCATGGTGCCAAAATGCCAGTATGTCTCAGTGTTCGCGGCTGTCATTTTGTCGTGCAGAAACTACTACCGGTAGCAGTGTAAGGCGGTACGGTACGGTACATTTTCACAGATACCCTACCAGCACGAGAGTCCAGGCTGGCTTGCACACGAGTCATGTTTTGCGTCAACTCAAAAGTCGTGTTTAGAGTTGACTCACAGGTCGTATTTTGAGTCGACTCAAAACATGTAACAGCACCAGACTCCAGGCTTGCACATGAGAGGACCATTAACACCCACAAACTCATGTACGGAAGAAATGACAAGCATGGTAATGCAGTAACATGGTAACATGATGACATGGTGACAAGGTAATGTGGTGAGATGGTGACATGACATGGAGTTGCACGTCGTGTTGCATGAGCACTCATGCTAGCTCGGCGGCTGGAACATCTCCTTGATCGTGCGCTGCCATGCCATGCTGCCTCTTCTCATCCCCACCACCACCCCCACAGCCTTCGACAGTCACACTGCCAGTGAAGATCATCCCCATACGTCGCACTTCCCACCACCCACTAGCTCGGCGGCTGAAACATCTCACTGATCGTGCGCTGCCTCTTCTTCTCCTCCCCACCACCACACCCTGCTATAGTCACACCTCCATCAGTCACACCCGCATGGGTCAACCATCCCCATTTCCCACTACCCTGCTTCCCCTGCTGCTGCTCATCCCCTCCTCCCTTCTTCCTGCCTGCGAGAGCAGCAGCAGCGGCGGCATGGCGAGGGTCCTTGTGCACCTGCAGCGACTGCTTCTGCTCTCCGTCCATCACCTGTTGGAGGAAGGGGGCAGAAGGAACGGTGTCAAAATAACACAATTCACAGGCACAAGGGCAGCAGCAGAGGCGGCAGCATGGCGAGGGTCCTTGTGCACCGGCAGGGACTGCTTCTGCTCTCCATCCATCACCTGTTGGAGGCAAGGGGGCAGGGCGGAGTAAGAAGTCACGGTGTCACATTCCCACATTCACACACGTGGCCACAAGAGAAGGAAGAGGAGGCAGCATGTCAAGGGTCCTTGTGCATCTGCTCTGCAGGGACTGCGTTTTCTCTCCGTCCATCACCTGTTAGCACACGGGATGGGGCACAGCGGTGCACTCACATGCATATAAACACAGACGCATGGGTCACATGGGCTTGAAAAGAGGAGGAGGAGGCGGCATGTCAAAGGTCCTTGTGCGTCTGTAGGGACTGCTTCTGCTCTCCGTCCATCACTTGTGACGCAAGAAGGGGCAGGGAGGGGCAAGAAGGTAACAGTGTGACAAGAAGGTAACAGTGTGACAAGAAGGTAACAGTGTGACATTTACATTCACGGACCCGCGAGTCACAAGAGGAGGTAGAGGCGGAAGCATCGCGACTGCTTCGCTGTCCATCACTTGTGACGCAAGAAGGGCACATTTATAAACATGACTTGCAAGGGGATTAGACATGGCAACAGTGCGTGCATGTGCCCTTGTACTCACTGCTTTTGCTCAACAAGCCATCAAGCTAACACATCCACATGTCCCCCTAATGAGCGGCCCGACACACAGGGCATCAGGAGGATTTGACTTTTGAGGCGCCTCAGAAGTTGCTGCACGTTACGTGCACACTTGATTGAAGAAGTGTTGTACGTTACATTCAATATAAAAGGCGCAGGTTGAGAGACGACTTTTGAGGCGCCTGAAAAAGTCTCCCCTAAATGAGCAGTCCGATACATGGGCCATCAGGAAGATTTGATTCTGAGGCGCCTCGAGAGTTGCTGCAAGGTGGCCTCACAACACACTGACCATCCCACCCTGCCCGATCATCTGCTCTAGACACCCCACTCACCCGCCCACACATGCACCCACCCACCCACCCACCCACCCACCCACCCACCCACCCACCCACCCACCCACCCACCCACCCACCCACCCACCCACCCACCCACCCACCCACCCACCCACCCACCCACCCACCCGCCCCCCCGCCCGCCCGCCCGCCCGCCCGCCCGCCCGCCCGCCCGCCCGCCCGCCCGCCCGCCCGCTCGCCCGCCCGCCCGCCCGCCCACCCACCCACCCACCCACCCACCCACACACCCACCACACACCTGGCCCAGATTCTCCAGCTTGTGTTGCACAACGCTCCTGAGAGAGGGAGGAGAAAGAGACAGGCACGAAATGGAGCGAGGGGGGAGGAGATTCAGAAAGGGGAGAATGAGGACGAGCGAGTGAGGAAGAAACCGAGAGAGAGCAAGCCGAGTGCCTCGTACACCACTGCAGCCCCTCTACTACGTGAGTGATCAAGCGAGTCGAAACACGTGAATCCAAGATTGAGATATCCAAGTGTTCCAAGGCGATCTTTGAGCAACAATTGTGTTGTTATTCGAGAAGTGGGCACAAAGGAAAAGCACAAACACCACAAGCACAAACACCACAAGCACAAACACCACAAGCACAAACACCACAAGCACAAACACCACAAGCACAAACACCACAAGCACAAACACCACAAGCACAAACACCACAAGCACAAACACCACAAGCACAAACACCACAAGCACAAACACCACAAGCACAAACACCACAAGCACAAACACCACAAGCACAAACACCACAAGCACAAACACCACAAGCACAAACACCACAAGCACAAACACCACAAGCACAAACACCACAAGCACAAACACCACAAGCACAAACACCACAAGCACAAACACCACAAGCACAAACACCACAAGCACAAACACCACAAGCACAAACACCACAAGCACAAACACCACAAGCACAAACACCACAAGCACAAACACCACAAGCACAAACACCACAAGCACAAACACCACAAGCACAAACACCACAAGCACAAACACCACAAGCACAAACACCACAAGCACAAACACCACAAGCACAAACACCACAAGCACAAACACCACAAGCACAAACACCACAAGCACAAACACCACAAGCACAAACACCACAAGCACCAACACCACAAGCACAACACCACAAGCACCAACACCACAAGCACAACACCACAAGCACAAACACCACAAGCACCAACACCACAAGCACAGACACCACAAGCACAAACACCACAAGCACCAACACCACAAGCACCAACACCACAAGCACAAACACCACAAGCACAAACACCACAAGCACAAACACCACAAGCACAAACACCACAAGCACAAACACCACAAGCACAAACACCACAAGCACAAACACCACAAGCACAAACACCACAAGCACAAACACCACAAGCACAAACACCACAAGCACAAACACCACAAGCACAAACACCACAAGCACAAACACCACAAGCACAAACACCACAAGCACAAACACCACAAGCACAAACACCACAAGCACAAACACCACAAGCACCAACACCACAAGAACCAACACCACAAGCACAAACACCACAAGCACAAACACCACAAGCACCAACACCACAAGCACCAACACCACAAGCACAAACACCACAAGCACCAACACCACAAGCACAGACACCACAAGCACCAACACCACAAGCACAAACACCACAAGCACCAACACCACAAGCACCAACACCACAAGCACAAACACCACAAGCACAAACACCACAAGCACAAACACCACAAGCACAAACACCACAAGCACAAACACCACAAGCACAAACACCACAAGCACAAACACCACAAGCACAAACACCACAAGCACAAACACCACAAGCACAAACACCACAAGCACCAACACCACAAGCACAAACACCACAAGCACAAACACCACAAGCACAAACACCACAAGCACCAACACCACAAGCACCAACACCACAAGCACCAACACCACAAGCACAAACACCACAAGCACAAACACCACAAGCACAAACACCACAAGCACAAACACCACAAGCACAAACACCACAAGCACAAACACCACAAGCACCAACACCACAAGCACCAACACCACAAGCACAGACACCACAAGCACCAACACCACAAGCACAAACACCACAAGCACAAACACCACAAGCACCAACACCACAAGCACAGACACCACAAGCACCAACACCACAAGCACCAACACCACAAGCACCAACACCACAAGCACAAACACCACAAGCACCAACACCACAAGCACCAACACCACAAGCACAAACACCACAAGCACCAACACCACAAGCACAAACACCACAAGCACAAACACCACAAGCACAAACACCACAAGCACCAACACCACAAGCACAAACACCACAAGCACCAACACCACAAGCACAAACACCACAAGCACCAACACCACAAGCACCAACACCACAAGCACAAACACCACAAGCACAAACACCACAAGCACAAACACCACAAGCACCAACACCACAAGCACCAACACCACAAGCACCTGTTGTGCGGCAAGTATGTCCCAGAGGGTGGATTCTCACCTTCAGTCTTAGAGGTCGTGGGTTCAATTCTCAGCAGCTGCACTTTCCCTTCTCCTTATGCCCCACATTACATGTCCACACTCCACCACACTCCACCACAGTGAAGTGTGGTCACAGTTGGCATTGCCACCTGTCCACTCATCCCACACTCACCTTGCTGGCCTCTATGGTGTGCCATATGCTGTTATGTGGGCTGTTGTTCCAGCCTGGCCCACATGTGCAACATGTGGCCTCACTTGCTAGCTTGGCAAGGTTGGCTAGCCTTGCCCTCAGCATTGAGGTGCTGCAGCTAGCCTCAAGAGTTCAACCACATATATGTGGCTTCCCACTTCACTAGAAATCATCCTTGGACAAAGACCTTGCTCTAGTCTTTAAGACATACCATTTTCTTGCTAAGGATATTTCTTCTTCCTATCGTGCCATAAGTTCACCGATCCATTTTTTTCATGGTATCAGAGCTAGGCTTCTAGCTTTGTGAACGTCGCACACTTGATGGCTCAAGTTGAGACGCCTCTCGGTCGCCACACCCTTCCTATCTTGGAACCGGATGGTTCCAACTTCATTCCATGGAAGAAAAAGATATGTTACATCTTCAATGTCCTTGGGCTGATCTCCCTTCTTGGAGATCCCAAGGTTGCTGCCCGCCCTTCCATTTCCTCTTCCACAACCAGCAGTGGAGATGCTACTGAAGGCAACAATGGTGCAGCCCCTAAAACAGCCCATTCGATTGCATCGCTGCCGGATGAAGAAAGAGGAGCATGCGTACTATCTTCTCATGTCAGCCGTCCATCCTCAGCTCTCGCTCACACTTGCTCAAGCCAACACGACGAAGGATATGTGGGGATGCATCATGGCGCGGTTTGACTGCATGGGTAACCATGCACAAGTGGCTCTCCTCCGAGATCTCATCACTACACGGATGGACCCAACAATGAGTCTTCGCTCCTACTTCGATCGAGTTGGAAATCTCACGCACCAACTCAAATCTGCCGGCTTCGAGCTACCATCTTGGGTGGTGGTAATCTCCATCATTCTCAATCTGCCGGACTCCTTCAAGACTCTCACAGAAACTATTTGCACCGTGAAAGACATCAAGTCTATGATGGTTGAATACCTGCAGTCACGACTACTCGATGCCGATTGGGAGCGGTCACAATCTGGTACAAGCCGCAACATGGAAGGTGCATACAACCTCCATTCCCAGCCCTCCCACCCTATTCGCTCCGGTTCCCGCCAGTCCCCTACTTGCCGCTACTGCAAGAAAACCGGCCACACCATTGACGAATGCTTCAAGTTGAAGAAGAAGAAAGAGCTCGAAGAAAGCTCTCGACGGGAGAAATCTGTCATCCAGCCTTCGGTGCATGTGTCAACAAGCTCCTCCGCCGACATCCCTTCGATCTCCACAACACCTACTGCCCCATCAGCCCCTCAGTACGTACCTGATTCCCGGTACGTTGACATAGCTTTCAGCACCAGCCACCGCCCCATCCTCCCCACCTGGACTCCTCTCGTCGCTGCTTTCTTCATCTTCACCATCCTCCTCCTCCTCCTCCTCTTCCCTTATGGTGCTCCCTACGCATCGGCACTCACAGCCTCTTCCTCAAACATGATCCGGACTTCTTCCTGGCTGGTGGACAGCGGCGCATCTTCCCATATATGCTCCGATCGCTCGTTGTTTTCATCTCTCCAGCAGCCAACTGATGATATTATCGTTCGTTTTGGTGGTGGAGAAACTTACAAAGTCTTGGGAGTCGGCACGGTGGTGGCTACTCTTCGCTCACAAACCTCGGAGACCACCATCCAGCTAGACAACGTTCTCTTTCTCCCTTCATCGGTTCACAACCTCCTCTCGGTTCGTGCACTTGGAGCTGCCGGCATTGCCGTTTCCTTCCCCACTGCAGGGCGGGTTGAGCTCAAAACTGATGCGGCTCATATCGGCGAGGGCTTTACCTGCAACAATCTGTTTTATCTTCAGCTGCATCATGGGAGCAGTGCCGCCCCCCCCATCAACCCCACGGCATGTCCAGTCTCCACCACCACCTCCTCATACCTTTGGCATCGCCGTTTCGGGCATCTTAACATGCGGGACCTGTCAACACTTCATAGGCAGCAGCTGGTCACCGGTCTTAACCTCTCCTCCTCCTCGATTCCCCAATGCATCTCGTGCTATCGTGGGAAACAAACGCGTCAACCATTTGGCGTATCCCATTCACGCACCACAGCACCGCTCCAACTCATTCATTCGGATATTGCTGGACCATTTTCATATGGAACTACCATTGGAGGCGCTCGCTACCTTCTCACCTTCATCGACGACTATTCCCGCCACATTACCGTGTATCTCCTACGCCATCGTTCAGAGGCATTTTCATGCTTCAAAGATTACGTCACTCGGGTGCACAATATGCATTCCCCAAGGACCATCAAAGCGTTTCGCTCCGATGGTGCCTTGGAGTTCAATTCCGACGCCTTCACTTCATTCCTTAAAGCTCATGGCATCGCTCGACACCGTTCTACGCCGTACACACCCGAGCAAAATGGAGTTGCTGAACGCGCCAATCGGACTATACTTGAGATGGTCCGTTCCATGCTTCATGACGCACACATGGACAAAGGATGGTGGGGTGAAGCCGCTCTCACTGCTGCCTATCTCCGAAATCATGCCATTAGTCGGGGTGGTTCAACTTCTAAGACTCCCATAGAACTATGGACCGGTGCACGTCCGGACGTATCACACCTCCGCATCTTCGGTTCACCCGTTTCAGTCCTCATTCCTCCGCAACGGCGCTCTAAGCTCGACGACCGAAGCACGGCCAGCATCATGGTTGGGTATGGTCATCTTGACGGCACCAAGGCTTATCGCATCTATATCCCATCTCAGCACCGTGTCACACTTTCTCGTGATGTCATCTTCATGGAGCACTCTTCGCCACCTTCCGATGACCCTCGAGAACCTCCATCGTCATCTCCACCACCCATATCATCATCTCCGCCTCCTCCCCCACCCCCTTCCCTCTCAGCCCCAACCTCCCCTCCCTCTCCTTCACCACCCATGCCCTCTTCCACCACCCTCCTCCCACCATCTCCAACTCTGCCCGCACCAGCCACCTCTTCTCCTCCTCCTTTGTTTTCCAACCTTCCTCTGCCCTCGACGCCGCAAGACTTCCGCCTTCCATCCCTCTCCTCTCCTTCTTCAGCTCGTCCTCCTCCTTGCACCTCTAGTTCCTCACCACCATCCCCTTCAGCTCCTTCCACTCTTTCACTTTTCTCACTGCTCAAGGTCTTACCGTCTCCTTCTGAACCCATTGACTTCACCCTTCCTCCTCTTTCCAAGACATCCGCTAATGCCGCCCTTCATCATCATTACGAACCTCAAACCATTCATGAGGCCCGCACTGGCCCTGATGCTGCTGAATGGATCAAGGCTGCTGATGCGGAACTCGCTGCCCTGCACGCTAATGACACTTACAGCGTTGTTCCTCGACCACCCAAGTGCAAGCCGATTCCATGCAAATGGATTTTCAAGGTCAAGGAGCATGCTGATGGTTCTATCGAACGTCGCAAGGCCCGCCTTGTTGTCAAAGGTTTCAAACAACGCGACGGTGTTGATTTCCATGACACCTTTGCTCCTACCGTCCGCTTCGCCACCCTCCGCCTCTTCCTCACCATTGCTGCCGCTTTCGACCTAGAAGTCCATCAGCTGGACATTTCCAACGCCTTCCTCAACGGCACTCTTGATGAACTTCTCTACATGATGCAGCCTCCCGGTTATGAACTTCCGGCGGTCCATGGTGTTGAGCAAGTTTGTCTCTTGCACAAACCGTTGTACGGGTTGAAGCAAGCGCCGCGGTGCTGGTACCGCAAACTTCGTGAAGAGCTTGCTGCTTTTCGCCTTTTTGCTGCCCGTGCGGACCCCGGCCTCTTTATTGCTCCTCCACAATCTCCTTATCGGCCTACAGCTGCATCCTTCTTCATGCTTCTCGTCTATGTTGACGACCTCATCATTCTTTCCTCCTCCTCTTCTCTTCTTTCCTCCTTCAAGCGTGCCCTTTCATCTCGCTTCAAGCTTCGTGACCTCGGTCCTCTTTCCTACTACCTTGGATTTCACATCACTCGTGATCGTACCTCCCGCACTCTCCACCTTCATCAATCCAAATTCATCACCTCCATCTTAGACACCTACTCGTTCACTCCACTTAACCCTACTGCCACCCCCATGGACACCAAGTTTCAGCTGCCCGTGACTTCCTCCCCACACTCCTCCTCCTTTCCTTACACCTCGTTTGTCGGATCCATCATGTATGCCATGGTGGGTTCCCGTCCCGACCTCGCATATAGCGCTGGAGTTCTTGCTCGTCACCTTCATGATTGGTCTACTCCACACGTCTCGGCTGCCAAACGCGTTGCTCGCTACTTGAAAGGGACTACCTCGCTTGGGCTTCTCCTTGGCGGCATTCCCAACGCCCTTGAACTTCATGGGTGGTGTGACGCCTCTTGGGGACCGGAGGGAGAGCTCCGACGCTCCGTTACGTGCTACTTGTTCTTCCTCGGTCCGTCACTCATCTCTTGGCAGTCCAAACGTCAAGCTGTCGTCGCTACCTCTTCATGTGAAGCTGAATATTATTCTCTGGGCGCCGCGGTGCATGAGGCATTATGGCTTCGATCCCTCCTTACCGCACTTGGACTTCCCCCAACCGGCTCCACCCGCATCTCGTGTGACAACAATAGTGCCATCATTCTGGCCAAGGACGACGGCGTCTTTCATCCCAAGGCCAAGCCCATCGACATCAAGCACCATTTCATTCGTGATCATGTTGCTGACCACTCCGTTACCCTTCTCTATGTTCCTACTCAAGACAACCTCGCTGACATTGGCACCAAGCCTTTGCCCCGTGACCCTTTTCTTCGCATCCGTGGTCTTCTCGGTCTCACCCATGTCTCCGCTTGAAGGACCCTACCCCGGGGACATCCTTGAGGGGGGGTGTTGTGCAGCAAGTATGTCCCAGAGGGTGGATTCTCACCTTCAGTCTTAGAGGTCGTGGGTTCAATTCTCAGCAGCTGCACTTTCCATTCTCCTTATGCCCCACATTACATGTCCACACTCCACCACACTCCACCACAGTGAAGTGTGGTCACAGTTGGCATTGCCACCTGTCCACTCATCCCACACTCACCTTGCTGGCCTCTATGGTGTGCCATATGCTGTTATGTGGGCTGTTGTTCCAGCCTGGCCCACATGTGCAACATGTGGCCTCACTTGCTAGCTTGGCAAGGTTGGCTAGCCTTGCCCTCAGCATTGAGGTGCTGCAGCTAGCCTCAAGAGTTCAACCACATATATGTGGCTTCCCACTTCACTAGAAATCATCCTTGGACAAGGACCTTGCTCTAGTCTTTAAGACTTATACCATTTTCTTGCTAAAGATATTTCTTCTTCCTATCGTGCCATAAGTTCACCGATCCATTTTCTTCAGCACCAACACCACAAGCACAAACACCACAAGCACAAACACCACAAGCACAAACACCACAAGCACAAACACCACAAGCACAAACACCACAAGCACAAACACCACAAGCACAAACACCACAAGCACAAACACCACAAGCACCAACACCACAAGCACAAACACCACAAGCATTAGCACTCACAAGCACAAACACCACACGCGTCAAAAGTCGCCTTAAAGGACTGTCGAGGCGCCTCACAAGTACACGAGCATCCACCATATAAGGTCGTCAATGGTCTCAGAGGCGTGCAAATAATACACGTTCACCATACAGCACATACACCACATACAGACAGCACAGGGCATAGAGCAGAGAGCACTCAGCACACACAGCACAGTGCACCCAATCACGAACCATATAACGTCATCAATGGTTTCAGGGGCGTGCAGATAATACACGTTCACCACATTGGCCTGGATGGCAGATCAAAGAAGGGCAGTGGAGGGCACATAAGCAAGAGGCAGCAGAGAATTTGGTTAATTACACATACAGACAGGCGTTCGAAACCCCACCACTCTACACCCCACCACCGCACTCAACCCAGCACCCACCCACCTGCCCTATCCTGTGTGCCCTGTCCTTCGCCTGCATCAGTCCCCCGGATTCCACGCCATCTCTCCCCAAGATGCACCTTCCACGCCTGATCACCACACTCAACCCCCCACCACCACAATTTACCACCCATCACCGCACTCGACACCTCAGCACCCACCCACCTGCTCCATCCTGTGCGTCCTGTCCTCTGCCTGCACTAAATCTCCTAAGTTCCACCCCATCTGTTTCCAAGACTTACCTGCCAAACCCGATCACCGCAATCCACACCCTACCACCGCACTCAACCCACCTGCCCTATCCTGTGCTCCCTGTCTTCCGCCTGAACCAAGTCCCCCGGGTTTCATGCCATCTCCCTCTTCCCTACCTTACACCTTACAAGACCTACCAGCACCTCACACCACTGCAATCAACATCCACCCACCTGCACTATCCGGTGTACCCTGTCCTCTGCCTGAACCAAGTCCCCCAGATTCCATGCCATCTCTGCAAACACCACCGAGACCTACCTTCTACCCCCCATTACCGCCTTACCCCCCAGCACCGCACTCCACACCCCAATACTGTTAGAATGTGAGCGAATGAATGGCTGAACTAGAAAGCAGGTGGGTACAAGTAGCAAACCTAAAAGTGTTGTACCCTATAAGGACTACCCCACTACAGCCTAAACAGACTATAGAATATAAGTTTGACAAATACTGCTCTTAACCTGTCAGCACCCACCTGCCCTATCCTGTGCACCCTGTCCTCTGCCTGCACCAAGTCCCCCGGGTTCCATGCCATCTCTGCAAACACCACCGTGCTGGCTGCTGTGAGTGTCAGTCCCACCCCCGCTGCATGGATGCCCAGCTGTGAGGGTGAGGGAGGGGCGAGTGGATGGGTGCGCATGGGAATAAAGGGCAAACACCACCGTGCTGGCTGCTGTCAGCGTAAGTCCCACGCTTGCTGCATGAATGCCCAGCTGCATGTGCATGGGAGGGGCGAGTAGTGAAAGGGGAGCGGCGTGTTGAGACTATGGCATCCGCACAAACGTGTAGCAGCCGCAACAACAGCAGCAGCAGCAGCAGCAGCAGCAGCCATCTCTGCAAACACCACCGTGCTGGCTGCTGTGAGAGTCAGACCTACGCCTGCCGCGTGGATGCCCAGCTTTGAGGGGAAGAGGGAACGAGCAAGCAAAGGATGAGGGGCAGGGTGGGTGGGATAGCACCGTAATATCTGGACAAACGTATTGCAAGAGCAGTAACAGCCATCTCAGCTGTTGTATAGACGGATGGGTGCACAAGGGAATAAGTGGAGCGCATGGGAGTGCTGACACCACTACCACCCATCATCCCACCACTGCCACCCATCATCCCACCACTGCCACCCATCATCCCACCACACGCCTCTCAGCAAGACAGTCTCACCACAGCCACACTCACGCCTCTCAGCAAGACAGTCTCACCACAGCCACACGCGTGTCGGGGTCTTCTTGAAAGCGCGCCACCAGGTGGTGCCTCTTCTCAGGCGCTGTGGAACCGTCAATGCGTATGTAGCCCACCTTCTCCTTCTGAGGAATGGGAGAGAGGGAGAATATTGGAGAGGGGAGAAAAAGAGAAGCGGGAGTGAGGAGAGCAACTGGATAGCACACCACCGCGCCACCAGCTGATGCCACTTCTCGGGAACCGTGCCTCTGTCAATGCGAATGCTCCCCACCTTCTCCTTCTGAGGGATGGGAGGGTGCGGGAGAAAGGAGAAAAGACAGAAGGGAAAACGAGAGAAGCAGAGCAGGGGCATGAATGAGGGTGCGTGCAGCACTAGCAGCTGCTGATGCCTCGTTCGAGCACCATGAGTCTGTCAATGCAGACACAGTGTACCCGCTCCTTCTAAAATACAGGGGAGAGGATAGAAGGGAGCAAGGGAGAAGGGGAGTGAATGCAGTGAGCGGTTCAAAAGATTCGTTCAGGATGCATAGAAGGGTCTGAAAGGTCTACACATAGACCGAAAGGTCTCCGGCTCTGCAGAAGGAGCTGCCAACGCCACAGGAATCCCAGTGTGACCCAAAACCACGCGCAGTGAGTCTATTTTTGAGTCGACTAAAAAATAGACTGAAAGGTCACGTTAGAGTCGACTCAGAAGTCACGTTGGGAGTAAGGGAGAAGGGGAGTGAATGCAGTGAGCGGTCCAAAAGATTCGTTCAGGACACATAGACCGAAAGGTCTTCGGTTCTGCAGAAGGAGCTGCCATCACCACAGGAATCCCAGTGTGACCGAAAACCATGCATTTTAGCTGGCTGACTGTTTAGTAGCAGTAACCTGCAGCTGTAGGCCCGTGTTGCTCAGGGCAGCACGTCCGTTTAACAACTATCAACACCAACTACATGCATGGCATGCTAGTGTAGAAAAACCAAGTAAATGCATGGCACTGTACGGCTTGGCAGCATGGCATGGCATGGCATGGCACGGCATGGCACAGCATGGCAAGGCATGGCATGTCATGGCACGGCATGGCATGGCACGGCATGGCATGGCACGGCATGGCATGGCAGCATGGCATGGCATGGCACGGCATGGCACAGCATGGCATGGCATGGCATGTCATGGCACGGCATGGCATGGCACGGCATGGCATGGCACGGCATGGCATGGCAGCATGGCATGGCATGGCACGGCATGGCACAGCATGGCATGGCATGGCATGGCATGTCATGGCACGGCATGGCATGGCACGGCATGGCATGGCACGGCATGGCATGGCACGGCATGGCATGGCATGGCACGGCATGGCATAGCATGGCATGTCATGGCACGGCATGGCATGGCATGGCACAGTTACCTGGAAGAAGTCGGAGAGCGCATCCATCATGGTCATGTGATGGGCAAACACGAGGAACTTGCACCCCCCCTGCACGCGTGAAAGCAGGTGGGACACACACACAGAGGGCACAGCCGCACAGGCAGAAAGCACAAAGAGACTTGCGAGCATTTAAGAAGGGAGATCTTCCACTCATAGTTTCACGCAAAATGAAAGATTCAATCAATGCTAAGTATTCGTGTGATGAGGCGATTTTTGAGTCGACTCAAAAATCAATGATAAGTATCTAAAAACAAGAGAGGAAGGTAACCAATCCCCAGTCGCAAGCAGACATGCCCGCACCAGCAAATCCAACACCATGAGATACGTGATGAAGGGAATATGACATTAAGCATTAGCAAGGTGACTTTTGAGTCGACTCAAAAGTCCAACACAATGAGATACGTGATGAAGCGAATTCGTCATTCAACAGCACATCAACCATCACCACATGATGCGATTTCATTACACACCTACACGCATTCACATGCCCACTCATCCCACCTCCAGCACACATGCATTCACATGCCCACTCATCCCACCTCCAGCACACATGCATTCACATGGCCAGAGCCCAGGTACAAGGACCCAAGACCTAAGACCCAGGGCCCAGGGCACATGGATTCTTGAGACTTCTAAAAAATATACTTTTGTCACCAGAGCCCAGGGCACATGGACTCACCTCCAGCATGGTCCCCAGGAACTCCCTCACAGCACGATGGTGTGCGTGCATGGTGATGCTAATTCATATACCCACATGCCCAGCGACTCACCTCCAGCATGGTCCCCAGGTACTCCCTCACGGCATCCACCTTCGCTTCTGCCGACTCTGTGTATAGCTGCTCGCATGGGGAACAGTGACGAGTGGTGATGGGGGAGGGCGGCAATGAATGAAGGGAAGGGGGGAAATAGATGACAGCTTTGCACGTGGTGAGAGGACCATGAGGCGTGATCCCCAGGTACTCCCTCACAGCATCCACCTTCACCTCTGCCGACTCTGTGTACAGCTGCTCACATGGGGGAACGGTGATAATGAAGGAAGGGAGGGAAGGAAGGAAGAAAGGATGTTTCTGGTGCATCTGAGTGTGGTGAAAGGGCAATGACACATCACATTGTACCCAGGTAGTCCCTCCACCTTTGCTGGACTTTAGGAGAGTTTCCAACGAAGACCAAGAGCAGGGGATGAAAAGATTGCAATGGATGTGATTCTAGAAAACCCTGAACAATCGAGGTGTGATTGAAGAAGAATAGTCACACTTTGTCACTTGTACTCACACCAACCCAGAGGAAGCAAAGTGTGAGTCGGTGTGAGTACAAGTGACAAAGTGTGACTATTCTTTTTCAGTCACACCTCGATTGTTCAAGGCTTTTTAGAATCACATCCCTTGCAATATTTTCATCCCCTGCTCTTGGTCTTCGTTGGAAACTCTCCTAAAGTCCAGCTCCCACGCCATCCGCCATGCAAGCACCAGTGCGCCACCCATCCGCCATGCAAGCACCAGTGCGCCACCCATCCGCCATGCAAGCACCAGTGCGCCACCCATCCGCCATGCAAGCACCACCCATCCGCCATGCAAGCACCACCCACTCACCTTGGACACCCGAGCCCTCTCCTCCATAACTGCAGCACTCTCTCCGTCTGCTGCAGCACCCTCTCCCTTGACCTAAACCAGACTTAAGACATGACCATCCATCCAGCACTCCCCACCACTCACCCGGGACACCAGAGCCCTCTCCTCCATTACCACTGCACTCTCCCCCTCTGCAGCAGACGTTAAGCCAACCAGACAGGAAACATATTCCTCATTCAAGCATTCCCCACTCACCCTGGACACCAGCGCTCTCTCCTCCATTACCGCTGCACTCTCCGCCTCTGCATCCCTTGCTACTGCCTTCTTCTCCCGCACCTTCCTCAACTGGTTTTGGTGAGTGCGGGGGGAAAGGGGAGTGAGAGGAAGGTGTCAGAATCCCAGCCATTAGACCACTGGGATAAATTGGCTTGTTAAGTAGCGGATCAGTGCACCCATAACCCTCAGGCCAACGAGCCTGTAACCCTTCCCTAGGATCAATCGGGCATCCCCAGTGCAAGTGTTATGACACCCCCCCTCACAGGGATGCCATAGGACACGGCACAGCGACCCCGCCAGCATGTGCGCACATGGGGATTCGAACATGTGACCTTCGCTCTGATACCATGTCAGAATTTCAGCCACTAGACCACTAGGATAAAAGGGCTTGTTAAGTAGCGGATCAGTGCGCCCATAACCCCCAAGGCCAACGAGTCTGTAACCCTCCCTAGGATCAATCGGGCATCCCCAGTGCAAGTGTTCTGACAGAAGGAAGGGTAGGTGAATCTTAAATCATCTCAGAAGCCCCCCCCTTCAGCCTCTTCAGCCCCCGCCGCCGCCTTCTTCTCCCGCACTTTCCTCAGCTGGTGTGCGCGTGTGTGGGGGAGAGGGTTTGGGGGAGGGGGGAAGAGGACGGATAAGAGGGGCGTTGACTCTTGAGGTGTCTCAACAGTCCAGAGCCCTCTCCTCCATAACCGCTGCACTCTCTCCCTCTGCAGTCGCTGCCACCCCCTTCTTCTCCCGCACCTTTCCCAGCTAGTGTGCGCGTGTGTGTGGGGGGAGAGGGTTTGGGGGAGGAGAGGAAGGAAGGGTAAGTGAGATCTTCAAACGTCTCAGAAGCTCCCCCCCTCCCATCTCCCTGCTGCCGCCTTCTTCTCCGGCACCTTCCTCAGCTCGTTTGGGTGTGTGTGGAAGGGGAGGGTTTGGGGGAGGAGGGAAAGAGGACGGATGGGGGGGTGTTGACTCTTGAGACTCCCAACAGTCGCTGGTCAGCAGAGACTCATGAAGTAGAGCAGCAGAGTGCTCGCTCGATAAAATAAGGTGACTTTTGAGTCGACTCACAAGTCACCTTGAGACTCGCAACAGCCACTGCTCATCAAGTAGAGCAGCAATATTCCGTGCTAATACGAGCCAGCATACTGCTCGTGTTAGCAAAGAACGATAACCACTAAGAAACTAAGGAAACCCTTTAGATGGGGAGCAAAACTCAAAGGTTTGTGGATGGGCTTCATGGCCTCGCATGGCCCTCACTTCCTTCAGCATGCTGCTGTTTCTAACCCCCCTCCTCTCCCTCTCCTCTGCACTTCCTCTATCTCTCCCACAACCCACCACCTGTGCATGCGGTGCTGGGAGGGGCTTCATGGGATCGCATGGCCCTCACTTCCTTCCGCATGCTGCTCATTCTCTCCCCCTCCTCCCTTCCTTTCCCACTGTGCTCATTTCAGCCCCACTCCTCTCGCCCTCCCATCACCCCACCTGTGCATGCAGTGCACAGATGCTGTCATCTCTACCCCCTTCTCCCTCCCTCGCCTCTGTCCCTCCATCCCTCTCATCACCCCTCCTGTGCTGTCAAGAGCACCAAAGTGCACGGATGCTGCTCTCTCTACCCCCTTTCTCTCCGTCTCCTCTGTCCCTTCATCCCTCCCACAACCCACCTGCATATGCAGTGCACCGATGGGCTTCATGGCCTTCTCCTCCAGCATCAGCAGCACCTGTGGCAGGGGGGAGCAGTGGGAAAGGGGTGGATGGGGAGGGTATGGGATGGGGATTATTAGGTGTCTGAGAGTGCACCTATGGGCTTCATGGCCTTCTCCTCCAGCATCAGCAGCACCTGTGGCAGGGGGGAGCAGTGGGAAAGGGGTGGATGGGGAGGGTATGGGATGGGGATTATTAGGTGTCTGAGAGTGCACCTATGGGCTTCATGGCCTTCTCCTCCAGCATCAGCAGCACCTGTGGCAGGGGGGAGCAGTGGGAAAGGGGTGGATGGGGAGGGTATGGGATGGGGATTATTAGGTGTCTGAGAGTGCACCTATGGGCTTCATGGCCTTCTCCTCCAGCATCAGCAGCACCTGTGGCAGGGGGGAGCAGTGGGAAAGGGGTGGATGGGGAGGGTATGGGATGGGGATTATTAGGTGTCTGAGAGTGCACCTATGGGCTTCATGGCCTTCTCCTCCAGCATCAGCAGCACCTGTGGCAGGGGGGAGCAGTGGGAAAGGGGTGGATGGGGAGGGTATGGGATGGGGATTATTAGGTGTCTGAGAGTGCACCTATGGGCTTCATGGCCTTCTCCTCCAGCATCAGCAGCACCTGTGGCAGGGGGGAGCAGTGGGAAAGGGGTGGATGGGGAGGGTATGGGATGGGGATTATTAGGTGTCTGAGAGTGCACCTATGGGCTTCATGGCCTTCTCCTCCAGCATCAGCAGCATCTGCGGCAGGGGGGAGCAGTGGGAAAGGGGTGGATGGGGAGGGTATGGGATGGGGATTATTAGGTGTCTGAGAGTGCACCTATGGGCTTCATGGCCTTCTCCTCCAGCATCAGCAGCACCTGTGGCAGGGGGGAGCAGTGGGAAAGGGGTGGATGGGGAGGGTATGGGATGGGGATTATTAGGTGTCTGAGAGTGCACCTATGGGCTTCATGGCCTTCTCCTCCAGCATCAGCAGCACCTGTGGCAGGGGGGAGCAGTGGGAAAGGGGTGGATGGGGAGGGTATGGGATGGGGATTATTAGGTGTCTGAGAGTGCACCTATGGGCTTCATGGCCTTCTCCTCCAGCATCAGCAGCACCTGCGGCAGGGGGGAGCAGTGGGAAAGGGGTGGATGGGGAGGGTATGGGATGGGGATTATTAGGTGTCTGAGAGTGCACCTATGGGCTTCATGGCCTTCTCCTCCAGCATCAGCAGCACCTGTGGCAGGGGGGAGCAGTGGGAAAGGGGTGGATGGGGAGGGTATGGGATGGGGATTATTAGGTGTCTGAGAGTGCACCTATGGGCTTCATGGCCTTCTCCTCCAGCATCAGCAGCACCTGTGGCAGGGGGGAGCAGTGGGAAAGGGGTGGATGGGGAGGGTATGGGATGGGGATTATTAGGTGTCTGAGAGTGCACCTATGGGCTTCATGGCCTTCTCCTCCAGCATCAGCAGCACCTGTGGCAGGGGGGAGCAGTGGGAAAGGGGTGGATGGGGAGGGTATGGGATGGGGATTATTAGGTGTCTGAGAGTGCACCTATGGGCTTCATGGCCTTCTCCTCCAGCATCAGCAGCACCTGTGGCAGGGGGGAGCAGTGGGAAAGGGGTGGATGGGGAGGGTATGGGATGGGGATTATTAGGTGTCTGAGAGTGCACCTATGGGCTTCATGGCCTTCTCCTCCAGCATCAGCAGCACCTGTGGCAGGGGGGAGCAGTGGGAAAGGGGTGGATGGGGAGGGTATGGGATGGGGATTATTAGGTGTCTGAGAGTGCACCTATGGGCTTCATGGCCTTCTCCTCCAGCATCAGCAGCACCTGTGGCAGGGGGGAGCAGTGGGAAAGGGGTGGATGGGGAGGGTATGGGATGGGGATTATTAGGTGTCTGAGAGTGCACCTATGGGCTTCATGGCCTTCTCCTCCAGCATCAGCAGCACCTGTGGCAGGGGGGAGCAGTGGGAAAGGGGTGGATGGGGAGGGTATGGGATGGGGATTATTAGGTGTCTGAGAGTGCACCTATGGGCTTCATGGCCTTCTCCTCCAGCATCAGCAGCACCTGTGGCAGGGGGGAGCAGTGGGAAAGGGGTGGATGGGGAGGGTATGGGATGGGGATTATTAGGTGTCTGAGAGTGCACCTATGGGCTTCATGGCCTTCTCCTCCAGCATCAGCAGCATCTGCGGCAGGGGGGAGCAGTGGGAAAGGGGTGGATGGGGAGGGTATGGGATGGGGATTATTAGGTGTCTGAGAGTGCACCTATGGGCTTCATGGCCTTCTCCTCCAGCATCAGCAGCACCTGTGGCAGGGGGGAGCAGTGGGAAAGGGGTGGATGGGGAGGGTATGGGATGGGGATTATTAGGTGTCTGAGAGTGCACCTATGGGCTTCATGGCCTTCTCCTCCAGCATCAGCAGCACCTGTGGCAGGGGGGAGCAGTGGGAAAGGGGTGGATGGGGAGGGTATGGGATGGGGATTATTAGGTGTCTGAGAGTGCACCTATGGGCTTCATGGCCTTCTCCTCCAGCATCAGCAGCACCTGCGGCAGGGGGGAGCAGTGGGAAAGGGGTGGATGGGGAGGGTATGGGATGGGGATTATTAGGTGTCTGAGAGTGCACCTATGGGCTTCATGGCCTTCTCCTCCAGCATCAGCAGCACCTGTGGCAGGGGGGAGCAGTGGGAAAGGGGTGGATGGGGAGGGTATGGGATGGGGATTATTAGGTGTCTGAGAGTGCACCTATGGGCTTCATGGCCTTCTCCTCCAGCATCAGCAGCACCTGTGGCAGGGGGGAGCAGTGGGAAAGGGGTGGATGGGGAGGGTATGGGATGGGGATTATTAGGTGTCTGAGAGTGCACCTATGGGCTTCATGGCCTTCTCCTCCAGCATCAGCAGCACCTGTGGCAGGGGGGAGCAGTGGGAAAGGGGTGGATGGGGAGGGTATGGGATGGGGATTATTAGGTGTCTGAGAGTGCACCTATGGGCTTCATGGCCTTCTCCTCCAGCATCAGCAGCACCTGTGGCAGGGGGGAGCAGTGGGAAAGGGGTGGATGGGGAGGGTATGGGATGGGGATTATTAGGTGTCTGAGAGTGCACCTATGGGCTTCATGGCCTTCTCCTCCAGCATCAGCAGCACCTGTGGCAGGGGGGAGCAGTGGGAAAGGGGTGGATGGGGAGGGTATGGGATGGGGATTATTAGGTGTCTGAGAGTGCACCTATGGGCTTCATGGCCTTCTCCTCCAGCATCAGCAGCACCTGTGGCAGGGGGGAGCAGTGGGAAAGGGGTGGATGGGGAGGGTATGGGATGGGGATTATTAGGTGTCTGAGAGTGCACCTATGGGCTTCATGGCCTTCTCCTCCAGCATCAGCAGCACCTGTGGCAGGGGGGAGCAGTGGGAAAGGGGTGGATGGGGAGGGTATGGGATGGGGATTATTAGGTGTCTGAGAGTGCACCTATGGGCTTCATGGCCTTCTCCTCCAGCATCAGCAGCACCTGTGGCAGGGGGGAGCAGTGGGAAAGGGGTGGATGGGGAGGGTATGGGATGGGGATTATTAGGTGTCTGAGAGTGCACCTATGGGCTTCATGGCCTTCTCCTCCAGCATCAGCAGCACCTGTGGCAGGGGGGAGCAGTGGGAAAGGGGTGGATGGGGAGGGTATGGGATGGGGATGATTAGGTGTCTGAGAGTGCACCTATGGGCTTCATGGCCTTCTCCTCCAGCATCAGCAGCACCTGTGACAGGGGAAGGTGGGAGGGCGAGGGAGGGGCGAGGGAGGGGCGAGGGAGGGGCGAGGGAGGGGCGAGGGAGGGGCGAGGGAGGGGCGAGGGAGGGGCGAGGGAGGGGCGAGGGAGGGGCGAGGGAGGGGCGAGGGAGGGGCGAGGGAGGGGCGAGGGAGGGGCGAGGGAGGGGCGAGGGAGGGGCGAGGGAGGGGCGAGGGAGGGGCGAGGGAGGGGCGAGGGAGGGGCGAGGGAGGGGCGAGGGAGGGGCGAGGGAGGGGTGAGGGAGGGGTGAGGGAGGGGTGAGGGAGGGGTGAGGGAGGGGTGAGGGAGGGGTGAGGGAGGGGTGAGGGAGGGGTGAGGGAGGGGGAGGGGTGAGGGAGGGGTGAGGGAGGGGTGAGGGAGGGGTGAGGGAGGGGTGAGGGAGGGGTGAGGGAGGGGTGAGGGAGGGGTGAGGGAGGGGTGAGGGAGGGGTGAGGGAGGGGTGAGGGAGGGGTGAGGGAGGGGTGAGGGAGGGGTGGGGGAGGGGTGGGGGAGGGGTGGGGGAGGGGTGGGGGAGGACTGATAGTTGTCTGAACGCTGTTGGACGAGCTTCATGGCCCTCTTCTACCCCTCACAACTCCTCTCTACTCTCCAATCCTCTCTCCACTCTATCTCTCACAGTCGCAGGCACAAGCACTGCCCGTTCTTATGTGTAGACATCCCCCCAACCAGCATGTACCAGCAGTGGTCTGAATAATCTTACTTCCTAAGCTGCCCGAAAACAAACAAGTCTGTAAACCAACAATCCTACCTGCTATTCGGCTAGCAACGAACAAAGTACCCTCTACTATGCAACCCCTACCCATCAAAGGAGAAGCCTTCACTACCTGCTGTCGTCGCTTGGCTGGAAGCTGAGGCAGCACTTGCTTCTTCAGCCGCCGAATCATGACTGTACCGCTCAGCACCGCATGCAACTCCTCCAGATTGCTCGAGCCTGTGAATTCCCCAAACCTCCCCTGGCACAGACAAAAGCAGACGCAGGAGGAGGAAACAAGCCAGTAAGGTTGAGCAATAGGCGGACTCAAACCTGTTCACCTAAACACGTCCGGAGAATTCTCAAAAGTCACACGCTTTCTGAGGTGAGGTGAATGAGTGCGACAGAATATTGACTTTTGAGAATTCTCAAAAGTCACATGCTTTCTGAGGTTGGATGAATGAGTGCGACAGAATATTGGAGGGAATAGGGAAGCTGGGGGACCAAAGAGGGAAATAAATCTGGAAACGTCGCAGAAGATAGCTAGAGACCCATGAAGCAAGGAGAGGGGGGATGGGGGAGAAGGGGGGGTGTAGGTATTCCTCCATTTCCCGCATTGAACTGTTCTATTCACCATGTGTTTTGCCATTCAATGAAACCTTTGCTACCACATTGAATTGAACCCCTCCTCTCACCAATACTCTTACCTGTTGTTACCGCACCCGACCACTCACCTCCTGTCAGTACCATTCACATTGAAACACCACTGAATTGAATGTAATTTGTTGTTGTGACCGCATCCAACCACTCACCTCTCCACAATACCGCTCACCATACAGTAACGACTGCGGATGTGTTACATTAGTGTATTTCATCCACCAAAAAAAAAAAAAAAAAAAAACCGTAACCTGTTGGTATCGCATCCAACCACTTACCCCTCGGCAATACCTCTTGCCATACTCTCCCAGCTTGCGATAGGCATGCGGCTGAAGGGCCTCTAGCTGAAATGGAAAGGAGGGAGGGACGTGAAAAGGGGGACGTGGAGTGTCCGTGCAGCGTGCACACACACAGGGATTGAGGCGATTCACAGTTGCACATCCACATACGCCCACAAAGACACCAAACCACACAGACATCCAGCCACAGAGACACCGACAGGCAGCAGCACATACATGATACAGCCAAGCCACACAAACACCCCTGCACAGACACATATAGATACACCAACCCTCATGCACTCACAGATGTACACGTGGACGCATCATGCATCATGCACCATACACGGGAGAATCAATGCACGCTCAGGTGTATGCACGCTCAGGTGTATGCACGCTCAGGTGTGTGCACGCTCAGGTGTATGCACGCTCAGGTGTATGCACGCTCAGGTGTATGCACGCTCAGGTGTGTGCACGCTCAGGTGTGTGCACGCTCAGGTGTATGCACGCTCAGGTGTATGCACGCTCAGGTGTATGCACGCTCAGGTGTGTGCACGCTCAGGTGTATGCACGCTCAGGTGTATGCACGCTCAGGTGTATGCACGCTCAGGTGTGTGCACGCTCAGGTGTGTACACGCTCAGCTCAGGTGTGTGCACGCTCAGGTGTGTGCACGCTCAGGTGTATGCACGCTCAGGTGTATGCACGCTCAGGTGTGTGCACGCTCAGGTGTATGCACGCTCAGGTGTATGCACGCTCAGGTGTATGCACGCTCAGGTGTATGCACGCTCAGGTGTATGCACGCTCAGGTGTGTGCACGCTCAGGTGTGTGCACATGCGCACACAGACAGCAACACAGGCAGCTCAGCAATACAGGCAGCTCAGCAACACGTGCCTGCTTGAAGAAGTAGATGTGTGCGGGTGCTGCATACCCAATGAATACAGGCTGAGGTGCAAGCACAACAACAGCAACAGCTAGCTCAGCAACACGTGCCTGCTTGAAGAGGTCGATGGGGCGTGACAGGGCAGGCGTGCCCGTAAGAAGAATGGCCCTGTTGGCCCTCTGGTGACAGGGATTGAGAGGATGCATTGAAGAGAGGGGCAAAACATTCAGGCAGTCAACTGGGGTCAATGTAAGGACTTTAGAGTTAACTATGCTTGTATCGTATCACTTTTCAAGAGATTCTCTAAATGATACACGTGTTGAAGAGAGTCAGAACATTCATAGAGCCGCAGTGAACAACGGGGTCAACAAAATGACTCGAGTCGACGCAACTAAATGCTTTCGCCCCCAGCTTGAAAGGGGCACGATCAGCAGAGTCAGCAATAGTCAATGAGAGTAAAAGAGCTGTAACGACTCAGTCAGGCGCACATCAAACAGGGTGGAAGAAGATTTAGTGCGCAACGCAACAAGCACAGACTCACAAAAGGATGCAGAATGGCCAAGATCACCATTGTGCATGTCTTACGGCACCTCAGCTCAGACGATGCTAGCTGGAGAAAAAGAATCCTGACGTGATAAAAGAAGTGTTTTGAGACGTCTTAAAACACTTCTTTTATCACGCACGGACGAACTTACAAAGGATGCAGAATAGCCAAGATCACCATCGTGCATGTCTTACGGCACCACAGCTCAGACGATGGTGACCGGCCAGCTCAGACGATGGTGACCGGCCAGCTCAGACGATGGTGACCGCAGCAAAAGCATCCTCACCTGCAGCCGTGGTACGGCCAGGCCTGTGCGCTTGGCTTTGTAGTTCTTGAGGTAGTGTGACTCGTCTGCTATCACCACCTGGTGCATGTGCACGGGAAGGGGGGAGGGTGAATGCGATGCATGTGGGGTGAATGTGATGCATGTGGGGTGAATGCGATGCATGTGGGGTGAATGTGATGCATGTGGGGTGAATGCGATGCATGTGGGGTGAATGTGATGCATGTGGGGTGAATGTGATGCATGTGGGGTGAATGCGATGCATGTGGGGTGAATGTGATGCATGTGGGGTGAATGCGATGCATGTGGGGTGAATGTGATGCATGTGGGGTGAATGCGATGCATGTGGGGTGAATGTGATGCATGTGGGGTGAATGTGATGCATGTGGGGTGAATGCGATGCATGTGGGGTGAATGCGATGCATGTGGGGTGAATGCGATGCATGTGGGGTGAATGCGATGCATGTGGGGTGAATGTGATGCATGTGCCATGTGGGGTGAATGCGATGCATGTGGGGTGAATGCGATGCATGTGGGGTGAATGCGATGCATGTGGGGTGAATGTGATGCATGTGGGGTGAATGTGATGCATGTAGGGTGAATGTGATGCATCACCACCTGCTAGTGCGACTTGTCTGCTATCACCACCTGGTGCATGTGCATGGGAAGGGGAGAATATTCGCTTTGATATTTCTCGTCTGCTCTGTGGTTACCACGTGGTGCGTGTGTGCATGGGGGGATGGGTGAGCTTCATGGAATGTGATGCATGCAAAAAAGACGGATTTGATATAATGGGAATGGCTGTGATTGTAACGACATGAGCTGGGCGAATCAACTCACCTTAAACGGCTCCTCTGGCTGCTCCAGGCGATCGAGCAGGTCGTATGAGACTATGTTGAAGGGAGAGTGCAGCGAGAGGGGCTCAGTGCCTCAACTCACCTTAAACGGCTCATCTGGCTGCTCCAAGCGATCGAGCAGGTCGTACGATATTATGTTGAAGGGTGATTGTAGCGAGAGGGGCTGGTTGCGAGTGCAGCGGACGAAGTTGAACCCGTTGATGCTGCGAGTGGCGCCCCCCTGAGGCATCACCACCTGAGGAAGAGGGCGGGGAAGGAGGAACGGGGGATGGGCGTGGGGCATGAGACAAGGGATGAGGGGCTGAGTACGAGTGCAGCGGTTGAAGTTAATCCTGTTGATGCTGCGAGTCGCACCACCCTGAGGCATCACCACAGGATGGCATAGGAGGACATGGCACGGCATGGATGACGTGGTGTGGCATGGCATGGATGGCATGGGTGGCATGGATGGCATGGCATGGATGGCATGGCATGGCATGGCATGGCATGGATGACATGGTGTGGCATGGCATTGCATGGCATGGCATGGCGTGGCATGGTATGGCGCGGCATGGTGTGGCATGCCATGGCGTCTCAGGGCATGAATGGCATGGTGTGGCATGGCATGGCATGGCATGGATGGCATGGGTGGCATGACATGGCATGGATAGATGGCATGGGTGGCATGGCATGGCATGGCATGGATGGATGGCATGGCTTCTTCCATCTTCCACACGACTCACTGTGATGTCTTCAGGAGGCAGGTTGAGCCACCGCACAATGCTCTGCCATGGTGTAGGGAATGGAAGTGGTGGGTGGATAGTGGGGGTGGGGGGGGGGGAGAGGGGGGGGTTGGTGAAGAAGAGAAGGGAGACGATGAGCCACCGCACAATGCTCTGCCATGGTGCATGCAGGGAAGTGGTGGGTGGATGGTGGGGGTGTGGGAAGGGAGAGGGGGGGGGGGTGGTGATGAAGAGAAGGGAGACATTGCGCCAGGGCACAATGCGCTGCCATGGTGCAGGGAAGGGAAGTGGGGGTTGTGGAGAATGGAGGGAGGAGATGTGATAGCGTACGAGGAGACGGCAGATATCCGATGATATTCCCTCCCATCCCAATCCTCAACTCCCCATGAATTGAGTCGATTTTCGAGGCGCCTAAAAAATCAAAATGGCAGATGTGTGACCATCTCATTCCACAACTCCCTCATGCACTCTCACATCTTGTATCATGGCGGCACAAGCCTCATCATTCCAAGGGAATGCCTCACCATGGCCCAGTGCAGGCGCAGGGAGGAAGGGGCGATGACAAGCACGGGCCATTCGTCCCTGTAGCATGCTGCCAACCCTATGGCCTGCACTGTCTTGCCTAGCCCCATCTCGTCCGCTATCAGCACCCGGCCGCCTCTTGAGAGGGCAAACCTGACAGAGGGAGGGGCGAGGAGAGGAGAGGAGAGGAGAGGAGAGGAGAGGAGAGGAGAGGAGAGGAGAGGAGAGGAATCGGCATGGTGTGAGGCAACGAGGCCAGCAGCCCAACTCTTTGGCTTTGGCCTGCACTGTCTTGCCGTGCCCCATCTCGTCTGCTACCAGCACTCTGCCGCCACGTGAAAGAGCGAACCTGGGCAGGAAAGGGCGACAAGAGGACGGTTCAACGCACAGAAGCAACCACCAAGTCTATGCGCGAATGCTAGTCTATTATTGTGTTCTCCAGCCGCATCCCTGCTATCAGTACATACCAGCACATGAGAGACATTAGACAAAGGGGGGGGAGTGCGGTGCTGTGAAAAGAGCAAAGAAAAACAAAACAGAGGGAAGTTCTGACATGAGTCAGACAGAGCATGGAAGATGATGCATCATGAGGCGAGGACCGTGAGGTAGACGGGTACGTAATGAATGCAAGACAAAGGAAAGTGGGGAGTGAGGGAGCAGTGGCGAGCAGACACAAGTACGAAGCTTGCACTGCGATGCTGCACTGAAGTCTACATGGGCTGAACGAGTCAACGTGACGCTCACTGCATGCCTTGCTCTTGGAAGGGCATGAGAAGCTTCCGAAACCCGTCCGGTAAGTCAAAGTAGCGACCTGAGCGTAAGAGAGGACCAACGGGAGGAAGGAAGGATGGGGAGGAACTATAGCCCGGTGCAGGGAGTGGTAGCCGCAGTAAGTAAAGGGGGGGGTGGTGACCCAAAAATCGTATGAGACGAGCTACGGGAGGATGGCAGAGCCGTGCTGGTGACGTGTGACTTGCCTGAATCGTCTGACAGCTTGGCTGTCTCCTGGAGCGCTCGTTTCACCACAGGTGGTAACGGCTCCACCTGTGGGGCAGCAGTGGGAGCACGCCGAGAGCAAGAGAGCAGGAGAGGACGAGAGCAAGGGATAACGTAATGGAAAGGTGGCAAGGTAACACAGCCACACTTCCTCTTCTCACATGCTCCTACAGGGTGCAACAGGCGCCAGATTGCACAGCTGCTCACTCACCTGCCAGATTACATGGATTGTAAGGAGGGAAGACTCACAGGCTTTTCTACTTGTTAAGCTCCCTCACCTCACAGATTGAACTTTGGAACCCTCACCTCCATGTCACACTGACTCTCACCTCCACGTCACACTGACTCTCACCTCCACGTCACACTGACTCTCACCTCCACGTCACACGTCGGAACTGATTGTATGGCTTCGAGAAATGCGTCCAGGGAGGAGAGGGGAAACACCCATAGCCTGTGGCCGAAGCAGGAGGTGGGAAGAGGAGGCGAATGCAGGGATAAGCGTATGGAGCCCTTCGAAGCAAGGGAGGAGAGTGGAAACAGCCACAGTCAGTGAGCAGAGTGGGAGATGGGGAGAGGAGACAAAGACAGGGATCAGGGATCAGCCCTGTGCCCAAGGTTAATTGCTGCAAGTGATTGGGCCTATTGACTCCGGCAGGAGCAGTGGCGGCACTGACAGAGAATGGCGGGAAAGCAGGGAGTGTACTTCAGAGTATAATTTGTGTTCCTAGATTTCCTTAGGTTCTCTTGCTGAGGTCCGGTTGAGCCTTGTGCTAATCGGCCAGTGCCTGGGCACTTTCAACGCCCCTACTTGTAGCACTAGCAGACCATACCACATCTCACTCACACCCTCTCACATCGTTTCCACCTCTCACTGTTCACTTCACTCACCGCGTCTCACCATGTCTTACCACATCTCACCCACCCTCACCACACATCTTGCATCCACTCTCCGAATATTTCTCATTCCTTCCCGAAGCCCCTCTTTCTCCACCAGAAGCAAGCATCTCACCTCAACCCCTCTCTGCGCAATTCTCGCCTGTACTGCTGACAACAGCTCACCGCTTGTCGTGCTGCCAGATGGAGCAAGGGACGCTCTTCATGGGCGCCACGAGGTCCTGTGGTGTGGGGGGCGGAGTAGCAGAGAGTGAGAGGGGGGATACGGGGAGTGGCTTGTCGTGCCAGGGCAGGGGGCTTGTCGCGCTGTCAGATGGAGCAAGGGACGCTCTTCATGGGCGCCATAAGGTCCTGTGGACGGCGGAACAGCAGAGAGAGATAGAGGTGATACGGAGAGTGCACGCAGGTTAGGGAAGTTTTGGGCTACTCATATGGAGCAAGGGACGCTACTCATAGGCACCACAAGGTCCTGTGGGTGGCGGAGCAGCAGCGAACGAAAGGGAATAGGGAGTGGGCAGTGCGTGGGGGGGGGGGGGGGTGAGGTGGGAGAGTGGTGGCAGGAAGGGAGAAGAGGGGCAAGGGACGGTTCTCAAGGGAGCCACGAGGTCAGTGGTGGAGTAGCGGAGAGAGAGAGGTAATACGGAGAGTGCAGGGCAGCGAAGGAAGCTGGGGGCTTTTGCCAAACAAAGCAAGGGAAGCTCCTCAAGGGAGCCGCGAGGTCCTGTGGGTGGTTCAGTAACAGCGAGTGAAAAGGGGATGGGGAGGGTGCAGTGACGGGGAGAAGAGGGACAAAGGGCGCCCTTCATGGGCGCCCCACGAGGCCCTGTGGGTGGCGGAGTAGCAGCGAGTGAAGAGGGATGGGGAGGGTGAAGGTTCGGAAAGAAAGTTGGGGGCTTGCCGTGCAGCCAGATGGAACAATGCAGTGCGAGGCTACAAGGACACCACGTGGTTCAATATGAGAGCAGCAGCAGATAACAAAAGGAGCACCTGGTGGTAGACGAAGGATGCAGCCACTCGGCCGTTGGAGGATGGCAGCAGGCGGATCCTCCGACACTGCTGCTGAACCGCCACCTCATGATTCTCCTGCTGCTGCTGATCCCGCTGGTGTTGCTGCTGTTGATGCTGTTGCTGTTGTTGCTGCTGGAATTGTTCTTGTTGCGGTTGCTGATTTGGCTGCTGCTGCTGCTGCTGCTGCTGCTGCTGCTGCTGCTCCTGCTGCTGCATCAGCTGCTGCTTCTTCTGTTGCTCCTCCGGCTGCTCATGCTGCTGCAGTGGCGGTTCTTCATGCCGCGCAAGCCACGGTTGTGGCAGATCAACAGATGTCTCTCCAGGTGACGATGCAATCACGGGAGGAAGAGGAGGAGCATTCAGGCTGGAATCGGAACCAGTGCTGCCACTGCAGTTGCCTACCCCACCACTGTCACGCATGTCCCCCACTCTAGCTAGCGTGTCTCTCACTCCAACTGCCGCAAACGCACAAGCACCCTCCTCCCCACCTGCTGCTATGAATCCACTCCCCCGCGCGTCACCAGCGAACCTACTGCCAGCAGCACCACTCAATGCAGTGGCAGCAGCTGCATCAGCTGTGCCAGCTGTCACAGGGGCACTCGAAGCAAAGCCGGTCGAATAACGGCAAGTCGGATCAGGGCTGGTTGAATCAGGGCCTGGTAAAACGGGACCAAGGCCAGCGGAATCGAGGCGGCAATGCCAGTCTGCAGTTGAGGTGCCACTGCCACCACAGGAGGCAAGGGGAGGTATGGCGTCTGCTCTGCTACCACCGACAACACTGCTGGCACGTATGCTATTGGGATGCGTACTGTTCCCATTCATGCAGCTCGCATCACCTCGTAGCCGCTTCCTGGCACGTTCCTCCTCTTCTTTCCCCGCCTCCTCCTCTATACTGCCCCATGCAGTCTGTGACAGTAACGAGGGAGGGTCGGCAACTATCTGCATGGAGCACAATAGGTACAACAAGACCGCACATGATGGTTAGAGGATTGCTGCACCGTAGTAACAATGTTGCTAACAACAAGAAGTTACGATTTGTATATATTGACATTCAAGCACAACCATATCAAATTGCAAACCACCTTAGCCAGCCGGCAGCAACAGCAGCACCAAACTGCAACAGCAGCACCAAACTGCAACAGCAGCACCAAACTGCAACAGCAGCACCAAACTGCAACAGCAGCAAGCACACTGAAGCAATGTGTAGCAGCGATGCAGTGTTATAAATTTCATATGGTTACCACACCGCACCTGGACAAACATGTTAAATGCAAACGTGTACCAAGTGCGTGTCACCAAGTGCGCATGGTTACTGCCGCACCGCACCTGGATAGAAACGTCAGTGATGCATGCGAGCGCTGCAACCACCTCATCTGCCATGTCGAATGGGTACTTCCACTGCCTGCATGGGACAACAAAGCATGAGGTGACACAAGTACGCATGTCCATACATGCATGATACATCAGATCATCACAATCCCAATCATGCACATGCACATGCACATGCACAAGCAGTGCTGGCAATCTCAACTATACGACACAACTGCATAATGCATGTGCTGACACAGCTGCTCGCTCCCATCCCATCCTCACCCACCTGCTTGCCCCTTCTGAAATCCTGACGTCTCCCCTCAATACCCCCCACCCACTTAATCCATCCATGTCCTATCATCCACCTGCTCCCTGCTCCATACTACCAAACCCACCTGGTGGCTTTAAACCAGGAGCATACTGAATGGACTTGAAACCCCTCCGTCACTGCCTTTAGAGGCGCCTGAGAAGTCACCTGCTTCCCTCGCCATACCCAACCACACGCCTTTCTCTCCACCGCTCACCCACGCACCTGCTCCCCGCTCACCCACGCACCTGCTCCCCGCTCACCCACCCACCTGCTACCCTCTTCCCCCACCCACCTGCTCCCCGCTCACCCACCCACCTGCTACCCTCTTCCCCCACCCACCTGCTCCCTGCTCGCCCACCCACCTGCTGCCCTCTCACCCACCCACCTTGCCTGTCCATCTCATCTCATCTCATCTCATCTCATCTCATCTCATCTCATCTCATCTCATCTCATCTCATCTCATCTCACCTCACCATATCCTCCCCATATCCCTCTCCATAGGCCACCCACCTGGTCACTCTGTCCCAGAAGCGCCCTGAGATGGACTTGCACACATCCTTCACCGCCTGGGTGGGTGGTGGGAGAAGGAGCCAAGGCAGCAGAGGGACGGAGGGGAGAGGAGGAGCCAGGGCAGCAGAGGGACGGAGGGGAGAGGAGGAGCCAAGGCAGCAGAGGGACGGAGGGGAGAGGAGGAGCCAAGGCAGCAGAGGGACGGAGGGGAGAGGAGGAGCCAAGGCAGCAGAGGGACGGAGGGGAGAGGAGGAGCCAGGGCAGCAGAGGGACGGAGGGGAGAGGAGGAGCCAAGGCAGCAGAGGGACGGAGGGGAGAGGAGGAGCCAAGGCAGCAGAGGGACGGAGGGGAGAGGAGGAGCCAAGGCAGAAGAGGGACGAAGAGGCAAGGCAACATTGGATTTGAGCAGTCACCTGTAATGACGCACTAGCTATCTACCACTAGAATCTGAGCAAAGCACATTGTCATATGGCAATGCAAGAGTCGTAGGAGCACAGCCACACAATCCAATCCTCTCACCTCGTTACAAGGCTCCCCCATTCCCTCGCCTCGATATAAGATTAGATACCACCACTCCCTCATCTCGTTTAGGCACCACCTCCACTCACCTCGTTACGAGGCACCACCAGCATTCACGCACCTCGTTATAAGGCACCACCAGTATTCACTCACCTCGTTATAAGGCACCACCAGCATTCACTCACTTCGTTATAAGGCACCAGCTTCACAGCCAGCAGTTCATCCGCGGCCTTCGTTATAACCACCTGCACTTGCCCCGGTGCCTGAACTGGATCCAGAGGAACCTTCCCAGCAGCTTCCATTCCGGCAGTGGGTGCCTGTGGCGTGTTGCTGCTGCGCTGGCTGCAGGGTTGCAGTGTGTAGCCCGTTGCATGCGGCATGTGGGGTGGCGGATTTGGCACGTGGGATGGCATGTGTGGCATGTGGGTTGGCGGATTTGGCACGTGGGATGGCATGTGTGGCATGTGGGGTGGCGGATTTGGCACGTGGGATGGCATGTGTGGCATGTGGGTTGGCGGATTTGGCACGTGGGATGGCATGTGTGGCATGTGGGTTGGCGCATCAGTGCCGCCCGCTGCCACGGCACATGGCGGTATGTCATGTGCTGCTGACTGCAGCAACGGAGTCACAGCCCCCACCTGAGAATACGGGTGTGGACGAAGGGGCACAGGGGGAATAAGAGAACTACCAAGCCACATGGCAGTGCGGCATGTTTTGAGTGTGGCAACAGGGTCACTGCCTCCACCTGAGCAAGATGGGGTGGAAGCAGCAGGGAGCAAGGAAGAAGACGGTAGGTTTAAGAATAGCTGAAATGGGAAGGCAAATTGGATTGGATGGCACATTGATGCTGCACACTGGCATGGCACATGGCCGTGAGGCAAGTGTTGAGTGTGGCATGTGTTGAGTGCGGCAACAGGGTCACTGCCTCCACTCCACCTGAGATGATGGGACGGAAGGAACACGGAGGAAGAGAGATAAAGACAATGTGCGAGCGGCAGTCAGAAAACACTGGCACTCACATGCACATGGGGTAGGGCCCTCAGAGCTCGCTCCACATCAGGCAGCGACCAGCACAGCTGTTTCACTTCCTGTTTATAGCGATGAGCGTGATGGGATGGGATGGGATGGGATGGGATGGGATGGGATGGGATGGGATGGGATGGGATGGGTACTCACATGCACATGAGGTAGGGCCCTCAGAGCTCGTTCCACATCAGCAGCTATGTCGATAGGGAAGGTCCAGACTCGGTTGCACTTATCCCACCGCCGGTCAGGCAGCGACTGGCACAGCTGCTTGACATCCTGTTGATGAGCGTGACGGGGGAGAGGTTGGAAGACTTCATTGGTGCCTTAAAAAGCAGCAACCGACACGGCTGCGTCACTTCCTGACCATGGAGATGAGCGTGAGGTGAGAGCATGGGTGGGGAGGGAGTGAGCATGTTGTGGGAAGAAATAAGCAAGTGGGAGGAGGTGGGCGGGCGTGTTGGAGGGAGTAAGGATGCGGGAGGTAGTGGGCATGTGGGGATACTGGCCCTTAGAAGCCTCGAAGACGCATGCGATCACCCGGTGCTGCAATGGCCACCCATACCACAGGGCAACAGTCATGAAGCGTGAAGATCCGTGCGATGCAATGCTTTCAATAGAGGCACTTGACAAGCCACCTCAATTCACTTGACTCAGTGCAGATGCAAGATGACTAATAGAGGTGACCTTTTGAATCGACTCAAAAGGTGACTTGACTTTTGAGTCGACAAGTCACCTCAATTCACTTGACTCAGTGCAGATGCACGATGACTAACTACCACAAGAACCGATCAAGGGACCGCATCATGACAGAGCGCATCATGATGGAATGCATCATGATGGAACGCATCATGATGGAATGCATCATGACGGAACGCGCATCATGATGGAACACACATCATGACGGAACGCATCATGATGGAACGCATCATGATGGAACGCATCATAATGGAACGCACCATTATGGAACTCATCATGATGGATTGCATCAAGAATAACAAGCAACAGCACGCGTTGAGCCTTTGGTACCTAACTGGTGTTCAGTCCTGCTGGACTCGTATGTAGACGCTTTTGGTCACGAAGATAACAACAATCCGGAAAGCAGCAGCAAGATTTTGAACGTCAACTAGCTGGTGTTCTGAGGACTCAACTTTGGACACCTTAGGACTAGAATGGTATCAGCAACTCACAGAAAGCAGCACCACGAATGAAGTTATGACACCTAGCTGGTGTTCCATGAGATTTGATTGGGAAACGGATGATAACAACAACCGGGATAGCAACACCTGGTGCTTCTGTCCTATATCTGGAGTCCCGTTTATTGTGTACCTCGTTATAAGGGATCGTCTTTGCCGCGACGCGCTCATCCTGCAGGCTCAGAATGACGCGCGTGGTGCACCCATCTGGCGGCGGCTGGCATTGCGGATGCGGCTGGCGTTGCGGACGCGGCTGGCGTTGCGCACGCGGCATGGCTCACGAATGGTTGGGCGTATGGTTACCACAAACGGATGGCTCACGAATGGTTACGCGAATGACTACCACAAATGGTTACATGGGTGGTCCAAATGGTAACGCGTAATTCAGAAAGGAAGTGTCATAAGAGTCGGCTACGCCATATGCCTGGTGCTACAGGTTGCTGCCGCGATCCTGCTGGTGTGCGCTTCGTACGTCGATTCTGCGTCCTTCGTGGCTCGCTGCTGCAGCGACGACTGACTACAAACGGGTTACGAGCGGGTTACCAGACGGCAACGAGAGGTTGAAGCTGACGTCGCCGAAACTTCGGAAGGCACAGAGAAGGTTCTACAGCTCGGGTGACTGTTGGCTGGCTAGAACGGCTACGTGCTGGCTAAGAACAGCACACCTGTTTACAGCAGTCGCTAATACACACCTGTTTGTATTAGCGAAAATGGAAATTAGTTGGAGGAAATGACGGATCGCCCTGTTTCCAAGTTTCCGATTCCTTTGGGCAGTGGCTTTGACACCACCTCGCTTCTCCGCTCGCGTCCGATTCCTTGGGGCAGCTGATTTCTACATTTCAAATTTCCTGTGACCGGGGAAATTCTGAAGTTTACCTGGTTTTAGTTTAGTGGCCAGTGGAAAAAATAAACCCCTCTCGGATGGCTGGCCATTTGGGAGGCATCAACCCGAAACACCTTGCCTCATGGTGTTTCGGGTTGATGCCTCCCAAATGGCATGCCCTCCATGAGGGGTATATATTTTTTGTCCCGAGCTTCTCGTAATTGACGCGACAATTCAATTTATGTTATCCCGATAAATAAACACAATATTCTTCTCTGGACTCGAGAAGAGGCAATAGCGTAAATAACTGACCGAAGGTATCGGACTCGAGCGCGAAGCAAGGCGGTGTCAAAACCAGTGCCGAAAGGAATCGGAAACCCGAAACTAGGGCGGTCCGTCATTCCCTCAAATTAGTTGGGACAGTTGCCGAACAACAGAAGGCACCTATTATCATCACTCAATAACTACGTGATCTAATGTCCCTCGCTAGCCAAGAAACGATGCTAGGAATGCCGAAATGATGCTCATGCAGGCACTTGTTACGGGGGCAATGAATCGAGGTAGCGAGGATTGCACTAGAGTGTTCAACGAGTACCAAGTATGAGCGAAGGCATGAGCGAATACTTATACGCGAAACATGCAAACGGTAACGCGGTGCGTGCGAGCTAGCTAGTGCTACGCTGGCGTGAGGTTCAGGCAAGTCCCAAGCGTGGGCCGACTCGGCTGCTCCAGCAGTGCGAGGTTTGGTGAAACAGTACGCGCGAAGTTGGCGAAGCCCCATTAGCAGTAACGGGCAAACAACGGTTGCGGCTGTACGCGATGTTGATGGTCGCAGTAAGGAATAGCGAGAAATTTCCTTACACTACCCCCCCCTCAAGAAGCCCCCTCCGCTACGCGAGTGTGTATATATCGCAAAAACCCCGGCTCCTCAGGTATTCTTGTAGGGCAGGGTGGTTTTAGATGTTGGCTAGGGGCACCCATGTTAGAAAAGTGAACGAATGAGTGGCTGAATTAGCAAGCAGGTGGGTACAAGTAGGAAACCTAAAAGTGTTGTACCCTATAAGAACTACCCCACTACAGCCTAAACAGACTATAGCATATAAGTGTGACACACCCCCATAGGCAAAGTGGGGGAGAACAAGAGGTCACAAGACCAGTCAAGAAAGGCAAAGCAAGCTCAGGGTGGATCACAAAGTCACCACGCAGTCTGAGTACAAGCAAATGGCCACAAGGCCAGTTCACATGCAGAGTTTTATAAAGGAGAACAAACAATACAATGAACACAACCTAGCAAGTGTAAGCATGCAGGTATATGTATATACAGCACAGTACAAGCAGAGTCAGGAAGTAAGCAAGTGAGGCACAGTAGGTACAAGGCCAAGGACAGTACAGAAACGCTGATGATCACAAGGCTGAAGTGCCTTGGTGAAAACATCAGCAGTGTTGGCCTGTGAGGCCACGTAAGCAAGATGAAGCTGGCCACGCTGCTGCACCTCTCGAGCAAGGAAGTAGCGCAGAGCAATGTGCTTCGTTCTGTGCTCCAGTCTGTGCTCCTGACACAAGGCAAGCATGGCCTTGTTGTCGACGTACAGAACTGGAGGAGAACGAGGAGCCTTTCCCAAGTCGGTCAGCAGGAAAGTGAGTCAGCGTAGCTCCTGTGCAGCCATGGCCCCAGCGTAGATCTCAGCCTCACAACTGGAGCTGAGTGTCAAACTTATATGCTATAGTCTATCTAGGCTGTAGTGGGGTGGTTTATATGGGGTACAACACTTTTAGGTTTCCTACTTGTACCCACCTGCTTTCTAGTTCATTCATTCCGTTCCTTATTTCCACATGGTATTCTGAGCAGGTTCCCTCGTGGGAACGTTTTTTTTAGGGCCCACCACGAACTTTTTTTTTCCTGCCCTGCCCGAAGCGCGCTTTGCGCCTGCCTCACTCTGCCGTCGCGGCCCCTACTACTGTCGCGGCCCCTGCTGCCGTCGCGGCCCCTACTGCCGTCGCGGCCCCTGCTGCCGACGCGGCCTCTGCTGCCGTCGCGGACCTTGCTGCCGTCGCGGCCCCTGCTGCAGTCGCGCCCCCCCCTGCTGCTAAAGCGGCCTCTCCTGCCGTCGCGGCCCTTACTGCCGTCGCGGCCCCCACTGCCGACGCGGCCCCTGCTGCCGACGCGGCCCCTACTGTGGTCGCGGCCCCTGCTGCTGTTGCGGCCCCTGCTGCTGTCGCGGCCCCTGCTGCCGTCGCGGCCCCTGCTGCCGTCGCGGCCCCTGCTGCAGTCGCGGCCCCTGCTGCCGTCGCGGCTCCTGCTGCCGTCGCGACCCCTGCTGCCGTCGTGGCCCCTGCTGCCGTCGCAGCCCCTGCTGCTGTCGCGGCCCCTACTGCTGTCGCGGCCCCTGCTGTCGCGGCCCCTGCCGTCGCGGCCCCTTTGCTGTCGCGGCCCCTGCAATCACGGCCCCTGCTTTCGCGGCCCTGCCCTGCACCCGCCCCTGCTAAGCACCCGCGCCACCCTGCTGCGCCGCGCCGCCAAGCCGAGCCGCGCCGCCCAGCCGAGCCGCGCCGCCCAGCCGAGCCGCGCCGCCCACCGAGCCGCGCCGCTCTGCCGAGCCGCGCCGCCCTACCGAGCCGCGCCACCTTACTGAGCCGCACTGCCCTGCCTGCACTGCTCCTGCTGCTAGTGCTTCTACTGCTGCTACTGCTGCTACTGCTACTACTGCTGCTACTGTTGCTATGGCTAGCCCTACTATTCTCACCTTTGATGCTGAGGGGCGTGCAGTTGACTTTGACGTGTGGGTTGACGACCTGCAGCTCTTTCTTCAGTGTGACTCTAGGGATGGGGTATCCCTATTCGATCACACGTCCGGTGTCTCCACTGTTCCTGCTGCCACTGCTGACAGTACTGTTCGCTCGCAATGGACCACTCGTGACGCTGTTGCTCGCCTTGCTGTTCGTAGTCACCTGCCGCCTGCTGAGCGCGCGCATTTTGGCCAGTACAAGACTGCTAAGTCTTTGTACGACGCTGTAGTTGCGCGCTACTCCTCCCCTGCCACTGCTGCCCTCAGCCGCCTCATGCTACCGTACCTTTTCCCTGACCTTGCCGCCTTTGCCACAGTTGCTGACCTCACTACTCACCTCCGCACTAGTGACGCCCGCTACCGCGCTGCCCTTCCCACTGAGTTCTGTGCCAAGAACCCCCCCCCCATGTATATCACCCTTTACTACCTAGTCACCCGCATCCCTGACTCCCTTGCTTCAGTCAGGGACCACTTTCTCTCCCTTTGCCCCACCGAGCTGACTGTCGACCTGCTTGAGGAGCGCCTTGCTGCAGCTGAGAAGAGTATCTTAGCTGTAGGTGCTTCTCGCGACGACCGTCGCACCCCTTTCTTTGAGGGGTGTTCCCCTGTCCCCCTTCTCCCCTCTGTTGCTTCTGATGCTGTTGTCGACCTTGTTGGCACTGAGGAGGTTGGGGCTGCGTCTGCTCCCAGTGGGAGGCGCCGCAACAGCAAGGGCAAAGGGAGCAAGGGTGGAGGAGGGGATGGCGGGGGCGGCGGCGGAGGCGGTGGAGGAGGCGG